TACGAATAATTGTAAAGGGTTAAGGCTGATACCGGTGGCTCCGATCTAGGAATTTATAAGTTTCCGAAAATCCTATTCGTAAACTGGTGGGGGGGAGATAAAGACCGGAGACTGGCGATATCAGCCTTAATACCATCTTTTAATGTAAATAAACATAGCAATTGTATATAAGGCAGATTATTGAACGAATAAAGCAGTGTTAATTCAGAAGCCGTGAGTATTGTTTCTCGTTCCTCTTTCCTTCTTTTTTTTTGTTTACAAAGCCCGGAGACGCTTAACTTATATATATATATATATATATATATATATAAAGTTAAGCGTAGCGGTCTTAAAACACTTAAAAAAAAGGTTCAAGGAATAAAACGCACGAAGTCGAAATCAATACTGGTTTATTGTTCCTCTATATATACATTCTGAGATTTTTTACATCGATGCTTTTGGTATTAACGCTAGTACTGTCCCGTTCCGGACTTTAACTCCCCCCCCCCTCCCACCAGTTTACGGATACTCTTCGTAAACTTAGTAAAAAAATAAAAGGGCATAAAATAAAAATTGAAACGCATATATGTAAAAACGATAAGGTCTTCTTGCCCACACTGTAACAAAGGTACGGAGTGTTCAGTACTTACAACTTATAATCAGCCAGGGAAACTCTGAACCAAGATTGGTTCCCCCCACATGTAGAGGGAAAAGCGAGGCTCAGGAGATTCCTGCGCTTCTCCCTCAGCCACTTCACTGGTATTTTAAACCAGCGGAGGATGATTAAGAGCTCTAAAGCCGCAGAAACTCATGACTTGCGTGGAGAATCTGGATACTACTAGAACTCTAAAATATCCATAATTACAAAAGGTCTCGGAGCCACTGCTGCTTTAACCTGTGAGGAGGATTGTAATGATGAGTGGTGCTTGATAGGGATTTTACAACGGGATTATGATGATGAGTAAGGTTATGGTGAAATTTGGAAATTTGAAATTTCGAAATTTGTCTGGAATAAGATCAAGAATAAACGGAATGTTAAGGTCATTATGCAGAGTTTTATTGGTTACTTAGAAAGGAGCATCCGACTATTGCACGGAGAACTTTAGACTGAAAGGATTGAATGGGCTTGATAATAGAAAATTTAGCTGTTCCCCAAAGTTCTAGTCCGTAAGTCCAGATGGGTTTCAGTATATTCTTGCAGATCAGTAATTTGTTTACACTCGAAAGTTTAGATTTTCTATTCAGTAGTCTATATAGCTGGTCATATCGTCTGTTAAGTTCGTGTCCTTTAAGTCTAGTATGTGGATTCTACGTTAGTCGTCTGTCTAAGAGAAAGCCAAAGTACCGGTCTGTGTCTGAGAAAGGAAGCTGAATGTAGTTAAAATAAACTGGTGGACAGGTATCAAGCCGAAGGGTGAAGGTAATGTGTTTACATTTAGATTCATTTACCTTGATGTGTCATTTTTTATTCCTGAGTTCAATCAGGAAGAGGTTCCTTTGTAAGTTTGCGGACGCTATTTCACGGTTCTGAGTTGGAAGATATGATAGCAATGTCAATAGCGAAAGTTGCCAGGAGGGTATCGGGAAGGACAGGAATATCAGCGGTAAGGAGAATGTAAAGGATGGGACCCAAGACTCTGCCTTGATGAACACCAGCCTCAATTGAGTAACAGTCAGAGAATTCGGTACCACAGCGAACTAGAAAGGAGCGGTCGAAGTACTTGGTATAAGGACTGTGGTAGGTAGAAATTGAGCCTGAAGAGCAATCTGGCCATACCCGGTCAAAAGCTTGTGCTATGTCCAGAAATGCACCCGATCAATACTGCTTGCTTTCTAGGATTATTATACAGTGTCAACAACTCGGAGTCCTTGTTGGACAGTGCAATATTGGAAACTAAATCTGAATTAATGGGTAAGAAGGTTATAGGATTCTATTATGGGTAGGATTAGTTTCAGTGGGATCTTTTCAAAAAAATTTGAGACGATTGGGAGTAGGTTAATTGGTCTATAGGATGCTGTATTGCTGGAAGGTTTGCCTGGTTTCAAGAAAAAGACGATGGTGGAACGTTTTCATAAGAGAGTGAAGTGGGTAGTTCGTCGGATGTAATTGTATACATATGTGAGATTTGAAGGGTTAAAAGGTCATATACAGGAAATTTACGAGGAGTGATTTTTCAGTAGAAGCTATTTGACCTCAGAGGGATTAACAGCTTTAGGTGGTACGGATAGGAATTCTTCTACTTTTGCAGTGTGGTTGGGAAAGAATTCCGGATGAGGAGTAAAAATATAGGAAAGGTGTTTGGGCAAACTCCTCGGCTTTATCTTCATCAGACGCTGTCCAAGATCTATCAGCTGTCGAAGGGGTTGGGAAATATGATGGGATTTGAGAATTTTGTTGGTGCTATTCCAAAGGGAATTATCATGAGCAGAGAGTGCGGTGAGGTAGAAGTTGAATGATTGGATTCTGAAGGTGGCTAATTCTTGTTTTCATTTTTTACAGTAACGATTGTAGGAGTGGCAGTCTGCGGGATGTCTGGTACGTTGCCACAATAATCTGGCACGGCTTTTTATGTGGATTAGATCAAGGAGGTATTGATGTAAATTATGTTTCTTAAGGATTTTTGAGGAGTAATCAGGGGAGGAAGCAGTCCAGGCTGCTTCTTGAATTTTGGTGGTGAAGGAATGTACGGCATTGGCAAGGTCTTCAGGGATTTTCAGGGTTATCCTGAAATCAATTTTATCGGAGAGGATTTGATGAAAGAATTTCCAGTTAACTGGACCTCTGATGAAGGGCAGTGGAGAGGGTTTAGGAATAGGAGCTAGTGATACTTATAGTATTAATGGGCTATGGTCTGAGGAAAGCTCGTCAGCAACGGAATAGTTGAAGGCACCTAAACCACTGTGGATAAAGAAATCGAGGATATCGGGATTACGATTAGTATCAGTGGGCCAGTGTGTATAAACGGTGGGCCAGCCCCCTCCCCTATCGTGCACCTCCACGCCCACAACCTTATAAATTGCATATCGTTGTGTTCCTTGTAACTATTTATTTAAAAATAAGTAAATGTTGCCACAAAAAAAGTGAACGATCTGCCCCAAAATGGCGTCCAAACATAACGGACTGACGACTTTGACTTTAGTTAGTTTTTTGGTCAGCATTTGGCTTAATTTCGTTATAGTTGGTCTTTTATTAAAGCTGAATAGTCAGACAATAAGAAAGCATGAAAAAATATTTTAAAATAATTGGCTTAAGCAAGTTGAAAATCAGGCGTCGTTTGTCATTGAACGGCCAACAATAACGCAAAGCGTGCACAAATAAAACATTTGGGGAATATATTTCTCTTTCTAAAAAAATTATTACTTTTCAAAATATTTGAAGTAGTTTTGTAGAAAATGCACTTAAGGGGCAAAAAAGCGGTACTGGCGTAGGTGCCTACAGGCCTCTACCACACCATTCATTAAAGTCAGTCATAAATGGCTTAATTTTAGTGCTATAATAACATTTTTGGTACATTATATTGATTGTATTAACAAACAAATATTGATACAATAATTAAATTGTCCAAAAAATTAAACAATTTTTTTTAATTTATTATTTTAATTTTTATTTATTTTTTAAAATTTAATTTATTTTATTCTATACGGACGTCGTTTAAGAAGGCCTCTATTGTAAAAATGATATGTATATATATATATATATATATATATATATATATATATATATATATATATATATATATATATATATATATATATATATATACATATCAATTAATCAGTTAAGTTATTAAAAAAAAAAAATAAAAATATATATATATATATATATATATATATATATATATATATATATATATATATATATATATTAATATTAATATATATATATATATATATTTTTTTTTTTTTTTGTTTTAATAACTTAACTTATTTATTGAAAAATATTACAATCTGTTCCAAAGGACATGATATAATTATAATAATTATTAACTTGTGTTTCTCAAACCATATCGCTCTGGCAATCGACAATATTTCTTATTCTAGCTTCTACGATTTTTGAGTAGATTTTCTTTGCTACACTAAACAGGAATGAATGTCAATGGGTTTTACATTTCCTAGTATCTCCTTTCTTGTAAAGGGAGAAAACTACAGTACTTTCATAACATTTTCTAATGCATTTATTGCCTATGTCCGCGCAAAACAGTGCAAAGCAGTTCGGTTTACTTCGTCCAGACCACAGCTGACTTGCCAATTGCCTTACCTTAATAAACATGCATCGTCCCCTTATATCATCCAAACTGCTCCAGCATTTGGTCCCCTTTTAGTAGCATCTTGGAATATTCTGTTCATGTGTCTACTATATATTCGTTTAGCCGTATCATGGATACCGATCCTTGTTTTCTTTTCCGACATTTTGACACTTCCTTTCTCGTTCGCTTAATGTATTTTTCCAATTTTTTGGTTCAATTTCGTGTTTTCTCACAGTTCAAGACCAAATACTAACAATCAGTTAGTGTTCCTTGAAGAACTTAAGCTTCGCCCTTTCCACCTTTCTTTGTGCAGAGAGAACAATGCATTTTCCTGTTTTTCATGATCTTGTCCAGCTTCCGAACAAAACAAAGAAAATAAAAATTAATTTTTTTATTTGTGATGTATGAGTTTTACTAAACAACCCATTAACTATTCATTATATGTAGTTCGGATTAGTTATATATTATTTTAGTATATAAAACTGGTATTAATATGACCCATTTCTGGGAAAGTATATACAATTTAAATTACCTCTAAGAATCAGTAAATATACAAAAAAAAAATTAATAAAAAAAAAATTTAATAAAAAAAAAATTAATCCGCTCATGAAAATAATGGGAATTTAATTGAATTGGGCTAAGTATTACTGTTGATTTTGTATCTTACTTTTGAGATATTATTAATTAATTCTAATCTTGAAAGTGAAATCCTTTCATTGACCTTTTCTTTTCAAACATTTCGTCATTTTTCAGTCGTTATTTGTATTTTCACAGGAGGCGGTCAAAGATTTCGTAACTGGGATAGGAATGGTGGTCGACGGAAAAATCCTAAAAAAATGACTGCTACTAGACCTGATGCTGAAGAAGAACTTGAACGTTATTTTTTTCGTAAGTTTTAATTTGTATTAAATTAAATGCATTATCATACGATCTCATGAAATATTGATATTATCTACGATTGATGAAATCAAAGAAGAATTGATGCTTTAGATTTCAATGTCCGCCAAATCGTTAACATCTATAAAAGAAAAAAAAACAACCGGGTACAAGTAACGAAATAGCGCTACCACTATTTTTTGTAGACCTGGAACCCACTCCAGGGGTCGATAACATTTATAAACTAACCCGTATGTACTATACTAGTATAGTAGTTGAAAAACCATACACAAAAAGTGAAATCGTACAATACCATAGTTGTCAATCTTATGGCCACACTAGAAGCTACTGCCACCGCTTACCTCCATGTATGAAGAGCGGCCAAACAATAATAGATCTTAGAGTATCCCTAAAAACTTCTCAAGACCTAGGTAATGCAGTAAGTTCCTTCACCACCTTGATCCAACAAACAATATGGACTGCATCCTCACCAATCAATTCCAAAGAAATAATCCTTTATCCCAAAACCTTACTGACCTTATTAAATCCAAACGCCAATCTAGGACCCTCTGGCAACAAACCAGGCATCCTGATGATCGGAAATTATACAATTATTATATATTATTATTATTACCAAACAGGTTGAAAAAGAACTGGCTTCCTATAGATCCCAATCCTACAATGCCTACCTGTCTTCCCACTCCACTGAGGAAAAATCCCTCTGGAAATTGACCAAAAAGATCCTTAAATACCACTGTATTTCCCATCCCTTCCGATGCGATGACGGAACCTGGGTTTTGTCTGATGAAACTAGAGCTGAAGAATTTGCCAAACACCTATCCAACACATTCACTCCCGACTATGAACTCCATCCCACCCACACTGCTAAAGCCAAAAAATTCCATTCATCTCCGATTCCTCTCTCTTTACCTAATAAAGCAGTCAATCCCTCTGAGGTCAAATTCTTTATAAACAACCCAAAGCCTTGAAAATCCCCTGGGCACGATCTCATTACTTCCCAGATCCTTAGACAACTTTCCAAAAAAAGCAATCATATTCCTCTCATTCCTATACAACCGTATATTCCGTACAACTCATTTTTCTCTGATATGGAAACACTCCATATTCATACTCTTCCCTAAACCAGGTAAACCTGTTAATAATACCTCATCCTATAGACCAATAAGCTTGCTCCCGATCCTCTCAAAAATCTTTGAGAAAATCCTTCTCAAACATATCCTACCCATCAGTTTGGATTCCACTCAAGACATTCCACTGTTCAACAAGGCCTTCGCATTGTTGACCACAAATCCTCTGTGCTTAAAAACAAGCAATATTGAACTAATGCCTTTCTGGACCCAGCGCAAGCTTTCGACCGAGTGTGGCACGATGGCTTGCTTTTCAAACTTAAAACCCATTTACCTCAATCCTTGTACCTAGTCCTCAAATCCTACCTCTCTTATCGTTCCTTTCAAGTCCGCTGTGGTACTGAATCATCCAATTATTATCCAGTTGAGTCTGGTGTTCCACAAGGCAGTGTCTTGAGCCCAGTTCTCTACATCCTCTTTACCGCCGACATTCCAACCAATCCCGATACCCTTTTAGCAACATTTGCTGACGGTACCACCATCCTATCATCCAACCCAGAACCTGAAACAGCACCTCTACACCTACAAAGACACATCTCCCTAATACAGCAGTGGTGCAACAATAGGCCTATCAAAATCAATGAATCCAAATGCAAGCATGTCACTTTTATCCTTTAGACAAAAGACTAAAATGGAACCCACTTACCAAACTTAACCGAAGACAAGAACTTAACCGACGATTTGGCCACTTATACTAACTACTTAACAGAAAATCTAACTACTCAATTGAAAACAAATTATTAATATACAATCCCATACTGAAATCCTCATGGACCTATGGACTTGAACTGTGGGGAATAACTAAATTTTCGAACATCAAACGCATCCAATCCTTCCAGTCTAAACTCCTTCGTACAATAGTAAATGGTGCTTATTATGTTACAAACTAAACTCTTCATCATGATCTTAACATCCCTTATATCCTAGATGTTATTCCAACCCGTTTCTCAAATTTTCATCAAAATCTAATCCATCATCCTAATCTCTTAGAACAGTCCTTATGCAGCTCCAGTCATCCCTACAATCCTCCCGAAGATTAAAAAGACAGTGGCCTCGAGATTTTTTGTAAATACTCTGTTGGAGTCCTAGCAATCGCCAGCTTCTCCACTCAAGTCATGAGCGTATGTGACTTTAGTGCCTTTTCTCAGTCTCCACTGGATCCCTATCTCAGTGATTCGGCTGGGAGAGAAGCGCTGGAATCTTTTAGAGTCTTGCCATATCTTCTAGTGGGGGAAAGAGCCCGACTTAGAGCTCCATCGGCTGACCGTAAATATTTTAAATAAGCATGAATTATTTTTTTTCTTATTCATTTATTTATAATTTCTATTACTTTTGTAATTTTATACATTGTGTGAATGAGTTTCTCACATCTCAAATACTCAATACCCTTGATTGAAGCAAAATATATTTTTTCTCAATAAAATAATTTAATTCTAAATATATATATATATATATATATATATATATATATATATATGGAGACGATCGCCGATCCAGTGGCGCAATTAAAACGTGTTACTGAACATCACTCGGGGAAAACGAACCATAGGGGAATAGAAGAGACACTGCGTGCGTTAAAATTATTATACTACTGGAAGAATATGGGCCGAACCGTACGTGAGTGTATTACGCAGTGCGAAGTATGCCAGAAAGCAAAGTATGATCGCCAACCCCCGGTAGCACAGCAGGTAGCCACACCCACCGCGACTGAACCTCTGCGATCAGTACAAATTGATATCTATTCAAATGAAGGGCAATCGTGGTTAACGGCGATAAATACGTTCAGCAAAATCTCAATGGCCTACCCCATCGAAGCGAAAACACCTAGGGCAATATGCGAGGGTGTATTACAATGGTGTGCGACGTACGGAGTACCCAACGATATCGTATCGGATTGCGGAAGAGAATTTGATTATTCACTAATTCGGGACGAAACCAAAAAGTTGGGTATCACGTGGCGGTTGAACACTCCGCATCATATTAAGGGTAGAGGCATTGTGGAACGACTACATAACACTTTAGGGGAACACCTTAGGCTATTCAAATTGGGACGAAATCTTGACCCGTACGATGCTATGCCGCGCGCGGTAATCGCATATAATAACACGATACACGCAGCGACGGGGTTATCCCCCGTTGAAATCGGTTTTGGCCAAAGACGGCGGGACAGAGGCGACTTAATCACGGCCAATAGTACTGACCTAAAGGCGAATCTGTACAGGGCGAGAATAGATCGCCAAGGAACGTGGGCGAAGATTAGAGAAAGGTTGATCCGCAAAAAACAGGCTCGACTGGATAGAGCGAATAACCGATCTGTAGTTTATAAGAAGGGTCCGTTGGCGCTGGGTACTGTTGTATATAGGCGATTAAGAACCGCTAGGAATAAAACAGCTGCTCGTCATGAGGGTCCCTATGAAGTAATAACAATAATAGAAAATAATTTATTTACCATCCGGGACGTAAAATATTCATTTCGGTCACGAACGGTTCACTTAGAAGAACTTCGCGTACCCCATATAGTGTCGGAACTGGAGCTGGCGGTTACGCTCAGCAGAAGACGTCACGATACTAAGAATATATTATTTTTACGTGTAATTAAGAATAGTTGCAATTATTGTGATAGTCAAAAATTGAAACATTCAGATTTATTTAGTAAACTTATTTGTGATTCTTCTATTAATTATAAGTGTATTACGTTTAGAATAATTTATAGACTAAGAATTGGACATATCTGTTTCTATTGCAAAGTAAGTGATATCATTAAGATCAGTGTAACCTTTTTATTCTATTTTTTTTTTGTTACAAATAATTTTTATTATTAAGTTAAGTGTTAACCTTTCTTTATTTTTTTTTCTTTTGCTAATATTTTGTTTAGTTCCTCCATATGAAGGAACTGGAGGGAGGGAGTTAACTGTAAATAGGATGTATATAAGATTATTCTTTAGATAAGCTAAATAATTGTTTAAAACACATGTTGTTAAAACACATGTTAATGTAGAGAATTGATAGATAAACAAAAGGTGAGGTTACAAAAGTGTTGTATTAATACAGTGTAAAAAACTTATATAAGAGTTCGAAATAAAGCCAATTCATTCCCAAAAGCTGTGTTGTTATTTCTTCAGTCTAATCATAACTTAATATATATATATATATATATATATATATATATATATATATATATATATATATAATATATATATATATATATATATATATATATATATATATATATATATATATATATTAAGTTATGATTAGACTGAAGAAATAACAACACAGCTTTTGGGAATGAATTGGCTTTATTTCGAACTCTTATATAAGTTTTTTACACTGTATTAATACAACACTTTTGTAACCTCACCTTTTGTTTATCTATCAATTCTCTACATTAACATGTGTTTTAACAACATGTGTTTTAAACAATTATTTAGCTTATCTAAAGAATAATCTTATATACATCCTATTTACAGTTAACTCCCTCCCTCCAGTTCCTTCATATGGAGGAACTAAACAAAATATTAGCAAAAGAAAAAAAAATAAAGAAAGGTTAACACTTAACTTAATAATAAAAATTATTTGTAACAAAAAAAAATAGAATAAAAAGGTTACACTGATCTTAATGATATCACTTACTTTGCAATAGAAACAGATATGTCCAATTCTTAGTCTATAAATTATTCTAAACGTAATACACTTATAATTAATAGAAGAATCACAAATAAGTTTACTAAATAAATCTGAATGTTTCAATTTTTGACTATCACAATAATTGCAACTATTCTTAATTACACGTAAAAATAATATATTCTTAGTATCGTGACGTCTTCTGCTGAGCGTAACCGCCAGCTCCAGTTCCGACACTAT